AGTAATGGCTGTGAGCACATCAGCTGTATACCAGGCAAAGCAGAAAACATTGTTTGTCAGAGAGATCATGGGATGTAAGGTGCTTAAACACTTTGGAATTAAAGCCTTAAAGACTTTGCCAAAGAGAGGTAGGATGTTAATTAGATGGATCAGAAGGGTCTCCAGAGTTCTTAAAAACAGGGACAACAGATGAGGAATTCCAACAAGCTGGGAAGCAAGAGCCAGTGAAGTAAGAGACATAGTTTAGAGAGAACTGGAGCCTGCTCAGGAGAACATTTCTTTAGGACTACATCTGGTATCCCATCACCACCACTTGCTTTATATGACTAATTTAGAGATTATATCTAAAACCATCAAAGGGTTTATGCTCATCTCACTCAATAGAGCCTCAGTTCTAGGGGGAAAATCAAGGGTGGGTACTCCAGATGTGTGGAGTGTTGAATTGGATGAGAATTTTCAAGCAAAGTATTCAGCTGAAGAAGTTTGATTGAATAGAATAAACATTGTGGATTTGCTGTTGTTCAGCACACTCTTTAGAATTAAAATTACAAGATGCAATACATTGTTTCATTCTATCAGCAATAATAACTTTCTTTCACTGAGGAGATGCTTGCACTCATTATGATCAGAGACAAAGAGACGTCTGTTATAATCAGACATGTTGCTTTGGTACAGATGGAAGAAGTGATTCCTATGGGCTATAACAGCTGAGAACCAAGAAAATGAGTGCGTCTTAACTTTATATTTTCTTGTTGGGATGAAAGCCTCAATACCAGTTTTACTAAGGAGGAGACTTCACATGCACATTTTTGAACTGGGTGATTAAAAACTACAATCCGAGGGACCTTGTAAATGAAATCATGGACTGAGTCCCAGTCTGCTCATTGATAAAAGAAAGATATTCTGTTAGTTGGAAATTCTTGACTGGGCAGGGAATAGGAGATGTTAACAGACACTACAGCATGATCAGAGTTACCAACAGGGGAGAACTGTATAGCACAACAAGAGTCAGGCATGGAGATAAAACACAGATTGAGAAAGGATATGTTAGCATCAGGGTTACTGGGGAGATGTGCAGGAAAGTGAACCACTTGTGTTAGGGATTGAGTGATTGAAAACTTAAGGGCTTGTATGCCAGTGTGATCAGTTACAGCATGTTTAAACCACATGGAATGGTGAGCATTAAAGTCACCAAACACAAATATGTGCACAAATGGGAGAGATTGCCTTGTCTATATTATCAGAAATGCTATCAAGTACACTACAGTCTTGAGAGGAAAAGAAACAATAGAAAAAGAAGAGATAGATAGTTTACTGAAATGAGGAGAGATAGACACATATATGAATAGTTTGGAGGTTCTCGTGGACATAAATTCCTGGGTCATGCATGTGGATTTTAGAGTCCTTTCTAAGGAGAGGAAGATAGATGGGAATCAAAAAATCAGAGTAGGGGATTGACGAGTTAAGATTCTCACAGAGAACTAGTATATCAGGAAACTTTTCAATAAGGAATGATGCCAAACTGCAGAAATTGGTACGAATGCCAAGGATGTTGTAAAAGGAAATGTTAACAGGATTATGGGATTTTTTTTGAGCTGGTTTAGGTTTATTTGTTTGATTGTTTATGGTTATGTTGAGTTGGTAAGGAAAAATCCTAAAGTAATAGTAGCTGACGGTCTTCATATGTGACGTGGGCAGAAAGGAACTGCCACAGAGTGCAACATAATGTAGCCTCAGGGTTGTCCACTGGAGGTGCTTGCAATAACACCTTTCCATGTGCAACATGGCACTGCAAGAACTTTGATATTATGTAACTGTTGATCAGAGCAGCCTCTCGAGATGATATGCAAGAGTTCGGCCACCTAATTACCAGTTGTGAACAGCAACCAGAAAACTGTCAACCTGCTACCCTCAGTATGAAGAGATCCTACCACAAACTGCACACATCACAATAGATTCACAATAGCAAGAGAAGGGGGAAGAGTATTAACCAGGTGATAGGAAAGCCTATCTACTATTACACACACAAAAAAAAATCAACATAAAACAAAAAGACAATAAGCAACATACAGGAAGTCCATGAGCAATGTGCATAGTGCACAGAGTTGAAACTGAAATATAAAGTTTCAACTTAGTTTAAGTGGCAACATGCACCTCTTGTTGAAGATGAACCCCCTGACATCTGCTGCAAGCCAGGAATAAAGATAATGCCCAATATTTCCATGAGAAAAAAAAAAAAAGTAAAAATTCAAAGAGCTAATATTCAAACAAGGTTTTCAAAAAAAAAATAATAAATGGGTAGACTAAAAGTTAAAAAGAAAAATTGAAAAAAACAATTAGTAACAGCAAAAAAAGAAAGGAATTCGTATATAAAATGATTAAGAATGAAATTCAAAGAGATAAATGCAAATATGACCGGCAACGATAACTAAAATTTAGGTGGCTTCGTAGACAAAAAAACACAAGGAGTAACATCCCAAAACCGAAAGGGGGGGGTGTTGGCATAAAGAAGTTGAAACATAGGCTGATATTGTGTGTATGTGTCTATATATGAGAGAGTGATTACAGTAACCATCCTCTATAATAATTATATTAATGGTAAGTTGTTTGTATTTTATATGTAATGATTTTAGTGTTTGTAGTCATTTTTTATGTTTATGTGATATTGTACCTTTCTGTTATTGGTAAAGATTTTTGGGAATGCTTGTTTTTTTTTTTTCCATTTTATTGATTAGGGGTATGTTATTTAAGCTTCTGTCAGATACATGGCATGTTAAATGTTATGATAATGTTGTGGTTGTGTGGGGAAAATTTTGAAAATGGCCTACCTCGGAAACGCCCGCGAGTCTGTGCATCGTGCAAACTCCGATTGTTCAACAATAAAAATAACCAAAATCGCGGCGCCCATGTTTTATGCCGGACGGTCTCAGACAGTTAACGCGAAATCTTGTTGTCTCGTCATTCACATGCAAATTATGGTCAGTCCTCAGCTGTATAAAGCTGGGCACTGAGTTTTTTTTTTTTTTTTTTTTTTCGTGAGAAGGTTGGACGTGTGACACTATTTTGTTGGTTACCCTCCTCACGTTTCCTATCTGCCATTATCAATTGAGTCGTTGCTTTACCACCACAGGTTGTGAAACCATTATATGCATCTGATTGTTAGAAGAGTATTCTCTAAGTAGACAAGTAAATCTATAGATCATATTGGTCTATTGAAATTTTTATTTGTGTGATGTTTGGAATGATAATATTGGTGAATTTCAGTTTTTTGTAATAAATGCTGTGTTTAATTTGTTTTTTTTTGTTCTGTTTTTTTTTGTAATTAGGTGATACATATCTCTGTATTAGGTTTTAATGAATTAAAAGAGAGCAGTTTAGTTTTGGAGGCATTAAAATTAACAAGCCAGCCTTTACCCCAGTTAACAACAGACTGAAAGTCATTTTTGAGATCAGTTGCCAGTTTGACTATATCAATCTCTTATGGAGTGATTTCACAGTGGAGGCTTATATTTGTACTAAGTCGGTCCTAAAATAGGTTTGACATACAAAACGTTAGGAACTTGATATAATAGGTATAACGCAGAGAAATCTAGTTGTGGTAGCTGATACTTTAATATCCAACTAACGGTCATCTGGCATCAACTGACTGACCAACTCACTGAGCGACTGATTTGATACTCTTACTACTCCTACTTATTATAGGTGGGAGAGTCTATTAACTATAAAATAGGTGTGTTCCACTATAACATAATCTGATCAGACTTACTATCAAGATAACAGTAAATGGTTGTGTCATCAGCATAATTGTGAGCTGATGCCTTCAAGAAATCATTAATGAAAATTAAAAACAAAGTAAAAGTAGGACCAAAGATGGAGCCCTGAGGTCACCAACATTAGTATGAAAGGAGCTAGAAGAATGGCCATTCAGGGGAACTTTCATTTCATGATTTGATTGGAAAGACAGTTCAAAAATTTGTCCAGAGAGAATGTAACTTCTTAGTTTGTGGAGAAGACCTGTATGCCAAAATCTGTTGAAAGCTTTTGTGATGTCAAAACCTACAACCTGGGCTTCATCATTTTTATCTGGAAATTCATAGACTCTTTCCACAATTATTGTCAGTCAAAACAAAAAAAGAAATATTCAACTTGTCCATAACGGTAAAGAAAGAAGCAGATAAAGTGCAAATCCAAATTTTTGGTACAACAAATACTTGCAATGATTTACACAAAATGCTTCTTTTTTTTTTTCTTTAGTCTAGTTTCTTCTACTAAAGATAATTTTTGTATGACAGAGACTCAGTTGGGATATTGTACCTTGTGTAATTTTCCATCAGAAAATGTTATTATTTTGTCTGAAACTGATTAATTAATAGACCGTGTTGTAGTTTATTTATTTTACCAAATCTTAATTTATACAGTTTAATTTTTTTTTTATTTCACAAATGCTACACTTGTATTTTATTCCTAACATTAATATTTTCAAAAAAATGATTTCATAAAAAAATACCACAAATATAATTTTTACTGAGGGGAAACTTTTACATACTATTATTTAATAAAATACCAAATTCTTGTGACATCTTTCCATACAGTGTGACCATATTCGCATTTTCTTGATTTCAGTGAAAGGAACACTTCCAAAATTATATTTTTTAACTATAGTTCTGATATACGGAGAAAAAGTGTCAGTTTAAATTGATATCAGAAGGATAAGGAGAGAGAGAAAGAGAAACTGCTGATAGTAGTAATGAAACACTTATCTATACAATTACCATTTTCTTTTAGTGTTTTTCTTTTTTATAGTTATAATAAAAGACGTACGTATCCTCTCAGTGTTATCAAAACTCACAATAATAAGATAGAGTAAAACTTGACAGTGAAAATGCTTAATCTAAATAATATAAAACAATAAAACTTACTTGGATCAATAACAAATGCTTCCGAGAATTGATGCCATGCCTTCTGAAATTTTCCTAGCACTTGAAATGAATAAGCTAAACAGATCCGTGCAAGGACATCATCAGGCTTTGTAATGATTGCACGTTGGTAGTCATAACTGAAAAACAGATATAAAAGCCTGGCTTTATGAAATCATTAGAAAGAAAAGACCAAGTAACTTACTATTTGTTATGATAAACAGAAATAAAGTGTCACTATTGACACTGGAGTTTGATCTCTGGTGATCTGTGTTCAAACACAAGCGATCCTATTTTGAATAAGTAGATTGCATGATGGTAAAGGAAATATATATATGAAAATGAGTGTGGCATTCTAAGTGATCATAATATGGATTACTATTTAGATCTCTTTTCAGGGGTTAAGTGAGTATTATGCTTATCTTATAAGTACTATTAGTGCACGTATTATTCGAAGGCGTCTGACACCACTAATGTTCAATGGCGTTACTATAGTTGTATCTGCAATTACAAAGTCTCTACTACAATGATCATTATGAGTATTTGTTGACATTGCAAAAGTGGCAATGAGGCTTCACTGACATCCCAAAATGTTAAAAACTGGTTTTTGTTTGGGAAGAGAAAAGAGAAATAAAAATACAGTACAAAAAACATTGTACCCAATATTCATTAGCTTACCTTTTACATTCCAAATTTTATTATAAGCCAACTTTTCTTTCATAATACTAGAACTTTTGGAACTGCTACTTTGTGGCATACTCTCTCAGACTGAGCTTTCCCTAAACACTACAATTTTAACCTCTTTAAGTCAAGGCTCAATTGTTATTTATACTTATAATCTTCAATTCCTACCAACCCCATTTACATTTATGTCATGCTCCTCAATTTCAGTAACTCTCTGCATTGAGTGACTCTCAAACCTTGTATTGGTTAATATTGTTAATTTAAAAATGTTTACCTCCTTTTAAGTTTGAAGACGTGTTCATTATTTTTAAAACACTTTTTTCTAAGATATTCAATCATTATAAATTTAATTCAAAATTTATGGGTTTCAATAAAATTTTTACAAATGTATCTTGAAAGGCATAAATATCCACTGTCAAAGTAAAACTGGTAATACCCGTCATGCCTGGCACAAAAATTTTCATTATTGTCCTCATTAACCACCTAGATTACTCTATCAGCTTTTTTAGAAAATCTACCTCATCGACCACAATCATTATTATAGTTATTATTTATAATCCTATTCATGGCCTTATGGTGGATACTTTGCTAGAGCTACATCATCTGGTCTGATTTTCCAAGTAAAATAAATGTAAACTCCAATGGTCTGCATGTCAAATTTGCTTCCTAAGAAAAATCAGGTGTTATATAGCTCTTTCAGTCCGAGACCTATGCTGACTATTGGCTAATACCTGCTCAGTATCATTCATATGCAAATTTTGTCTGCATCACCAACTTTAAGTAGAATGCCCCTCTCTCAACAGCCAATTGTGGACGAGGATATAATTTCTGGTGCTTACAGAACCACATACAACCAACTCTTGGTCTTTTGTCAGGTTGAACTGATTCTCTGTTAGATATATGTCATCAAGTATGGTTTGTTTCTGTTTCCTTTTTCTTCATAATGAGATGTCTTTTAGAGTTTTCAATAAATACCATTGATGAGAATTAAAAAATAAAAATATATTTACTGATATATATTTTCTCCATTCGCTTATCAAAAGCCTCAACTCTGCATCCAAATCTAAGGTTAACTATTATCTTTCCTGCATAGATCTATGAATTTCACTTCTTGACCTTTCTTACGCTATGACAACACCACACAGTAACCCTTTACCTTCAGTGGCTCTTGTGCTTTGTATTAAGTGAACATTAGTATTAAAAACAATTAAATTCTAAAATATGATAGAAAATTGTGTTTCATATTGTGTTCATCTTGTCTGGTTTACTAAGTAAAATAAATGTAAACTCCAATGGTCTGCATGTCAAGTGCACTTCCACTTGTCTGAGAAAAATCAGGTGTTATATAGCTCTCTGTCTGAGACCCATGCTGACTATTGGCTAATACCTGCTCAGTATCATTCATATGCAAATTTTGTCTGCATCACCTACTCTTAGTAGAATGTTCCTACCTCAACAGCCGATTTTGGAAGAGGACATAACTCTTGGTGCTTACTTTGCCATGCACAACCAACTCTGGTTCTCTTGTTGAGCTGACTCAATTCTCCGTTACAGTATTTGCTAGGGCTACATACTATCCTGTATTCAGAGTAATCCTAAATGTATCTTACTAATCCTATTCAGCCCAACACTGGTTGAGAGAAAAAATAGATTCATACCTTTTACCAAGGTTGCAAAAATAAATTTAATTAACTCTGTCAGTATCTGAACTCTGCTCATTGATTTCTTCAGAGCTGCTAAACATTACACCATCTGCACATCCACCAATAGATCAAATTAGGAAAATTATTGTTGAGAATGTAAAACAGACTTTATTTTTCTCTTTGCTTTTTTTGTTACATAATAAATAATTACAAATAATAAACTTTTACATGCTCAATATAACTTGACTGAGCATAATAGAAAATAATGAACAAATTATGGAAGCCTCACCTGGCCAAAACAGTTTCTTCTTCACTAACATAATCCATGTAGACATTTCCTCTGCTGATAAAGGCATCAGAGAATTGGCAGTTAATGTGAAGGCATTTAGTAAACATTTCTTTAGCTTCTTCCAGCTTTCCCAGTCTGTAAAAGAAATTTTATTCAACTGTTAAAAAAAAAAAAAAATACTCCTCCAAAGAATGATTTAATAACTACTCCCAGTCCTACAGCTTTTTGAAACTTTATTGAATGCTCCAAAATTAATGCCTCCTATTTTATTATGGCAGTACATATTATACTGTCCTACCAATAAGCCACATATTCATTTTGCCTTGTTACAGTCTGGTAAAATGATGGCTGATAGGAATACACATACAAAGAAGAGGAGGCTTCATTGAATTATTCCAGGTTTGTGGGAAGGAGAGGACAACTGTATGCATGTTTTGATATTTATCAATGTTTGCAGAATACCTACAGAGACTTGTAAGTAGAGATATATGATGTGAGCATAAGCTGGATATTGGTAGTAACTTTGATGTCAGGCGTGCTTCAGGTGGATGGGCATCACTGGTCCTCAACCTTCTCTTACATAATGACTCCAAGTTGCCATGACCTAGTAAACTGTTTCAGCTAGTGGGCTAAACTCATGTCATAGAGGTGGAGTTAACATGGCACCATTGTGTAAAGGACATCCTTGTAGGGTTCCTTAGAGGAACTACAACAGCCATGTGTTCATGACAATGTGAGCCACCTAGTTGGAAGACATCAACTGTGGTCTAACCTAGAGAGGGATGGATGCCACCAGGTTAAAATACCTAAGTCATGCTACATGATGAGCACACCAAGAAACCATTCATGGGGACCCAAGTCCTGGCACCCGATCATCACAGATGTAGGAGAATGGTGGACAGCTCAGCACATTGGTGCTCCAATGACTCCTCCTGGGGTTAAGGGCAAAGGAAGAGCAGTGAACAATTATACTTATTGCCAGTCCATTCAACAACATTGTCCAACCATCTTTTTCTTTGGTATTCCCCCTTCTCCTTGTATTGTTCCTTGTAGGCAAAAAAATGTATTATTTATTATTATATTATTTCAAGAGTGACTGTAAATGCTTAATTTAGTGACTGAGGTACTTATTTGTTTTGTTTTGTTTCACGGCATATCAACCTCAGTGGGTCATTCAATGCCGACAACGTTTTTTCTTTTTTTTCTGATAATATTTTTGTTTTGTTAGAAATCCATTTCTATCAATATTTCTTTCCTCAGAAATGTATATCTGGTAATAGTATTTTTTCCAAAAACATATAGCTGGTTATAGTATTTTTCAAAAACGTATTGCTGGTAATATCTTTTCCTTCAAAAATTTATTTCTGGTCATAATTTTTTATTATTCCTTTACAGTTCCATTGAAGTCTCTTATGTGTATTTGTGATCATTGTTTTCCTGTTTGGTTCATTGGATTACTTTGTGTTTTAAGGTTTGTTTACGTTTTTTATTTCAAAAACGCATTGCTAGCAACATTTGGTTTTCAAAAATGTATTGATGGTAATAATTTTTTACAAAGAGTTTCTGGTATTAAAACCCAGTTTTACACTTTCACAGTGTTTTGACCCCAGTTACAATTCCATTGAATAAGGTTTTGTTAAAAAACGTATGGCTGGTAATTTTTTTTTTTTTTAACATATAGCTGGTAATAATATTTTTCAAAAATGTATAGCTGGCAACATTATTTTTTCAAAAACCTATAGCTGTTAAAATCATTTTTCAAAAACGCACTTCTGGCAACATTATTCCTTTGAAAACATATAGCTAATAATACTATTTTCCCAAAAACGTATAGCCAACAACCTTATTTTTTCAAAAACGGCTTTTCCGTTGGACATAGTTTATCGCCATACCCAGTATGTAGATGCAGTTTACCATCATACCCATGGACATGGATGCAGTTTGTGGGCTAGACTGGGAGTTCACTATTTGACCATAGCTGATACCCTAACAGGTGCTACCACCCCGAGTCAGGGTGGACCTGGGAACACCAGCAATTAAGAGGTTGTTCTATGCTCCTCAAAACCTCCTGATCAGAGGCCTTGCTGTTGGATGCAGTTTAACATCATACCCAGGACGAGATACTTATTTAAAATCTTTAAAGAAAGCATATTTGATTAAATTATGTACTTGTCTTTAATAAGTGCCTCCTTCTATTGTTGCCCTGGGGTGTTATTTGAAATCCTCTGGGAGAAGGGAGATTAGTCTAGAGGTGTCTCAGTAAATAGAGCATTTCCAAATCCTAGAGTACTTATATTTTCTGTATATGTCAAGATTAAATTATTTGCCTGGATTTATATTTTGTTTTTTATTTAACATTTTATGAAGTTAGTACATACCTTTTATCTGGTGATTGAGAAGCTTTGAAATAATTTTAATTTTTTTTCCTCTAAACATTAAACTTTTAAATTTATTGACTTCCAAATTCAGAAGAATGGAAATAAGTTCCATGGTTTCCTTTCATCCAAAATGCAGAAACTTATAATTATGAGGGAAAACATTAAAAGCAAAATAAAACAAAAATCTTCATTACTTGTGCAGACACAATCCCCAAGCATGAATTATTTTGCAGTCTTGAGGTTTCAACTTTAAAGCTTCTCGGAAATCTTGTCTGGCATTGTCAAAATCTTCCATCTTGAAATAAAGACATCCTCGGTTGATGAAGACCTAGAAAAAAAAAAGTTGCAGATACAATAATTATCAGATAGTTCCTCTTAATTGCGATATCTTGATAATATAAATGGTGAGGAGAAGTTCTTTATAGGACCATGGGATGTTTTTTAATCATTTATTATTTGAAACTTTTTGCTTTAATATCATTGCAGAAACGTGATGAGATATATGCATTTACAAAAGTAGGTGTTGAAATGATCAAGAAAGGTAACCTTTTCCCTATAAGGAAACATTTGGCATTCATTGACCAAGCAGACAGTACTGCTTTCAGTTGAAATTTATAAAATCTCCCTCTTAATACAATTTTTCAGAAGAATAGGTTTCTTACGTCCAGTAGTTATTTTTTTTTTTAATTGGTTTCACCCCAAGCAAGGCGGTACTGCCACTAAGACACAAGGGGTTACTGTGTGTGGCAGAATTAGGAAGAGAAGATAGAGATTGAAAAAATTGAAGTGAAATGTCAGTTATCACTCTTTCCAGTATTGATGGGGTTTCCTTACAAACCTTTTGCTTGAAGTTGTGTGGAATGTTAATATCTTGAAGGAATTCCAAAATTCTGGTACTTGTCTCATTTGGTTAGATTTCCAGACAGAAATTTTCAACATGCCCTAGTAAAATTTTTTAATTTTTTTTTTTTAAATTTCCCCAATATTTTGATCAAATTTTCAGTACATAGTATTTTTTTTTAAACTTTCTCTATTATTTGTTTTTGCTTTCTATTTACCATAACTTTTGGTGAAAAGTTACCCATTACCTTCCTTATAAAGGTTTCTTCCTATTAAACTAGTTACTACCTTAAACTTTAGACCAATGTTATTTACCCCATGGCTGGGGGTATGTAGAGAAGAGATGGATTCATGCCTTTTTGAAGAACATTTGCATGAAAGTGAATGCAACAGGTGAAACTTTACTCTATGAAACCTATAATTACAAAAGGAATACATCAAATTGTAATGTCTGTCACTGTTTCAAAAAAAAAAAAAAAAAAAAACAATTTGCAACTTTTATTTTTCAGTTCAGATTTTACATACAAATCACATTCCCAACTCAAAGATGTGGCTTCTCCCTTTCTTCTCAGGAGCTCCCCTTGACAACATGAATTTAAGCATACAACTAGTTTGGCAATTAGGTCTCATCATTTTACTATTGAAATAGCTAGAGGTAATAAGTCCTATTCAAAGAGTTTCTCTTCTTGCTTCCCTGCTGCCTACGATCTTCAAAAATTTAAATACAAGATCAAATGCCATCTTTCTCCCCTTTTCTCTTTCCTTATCAGTAACCCCTGCCATCTTAATGTCATTATCGCCATGCTTTTGATTAAATGATTAAATAAATAAAAAAATTAGTTTCTGTTTGTCTTAATCTGCATAAAAGAATGGATGGATTTATTTTAATCTTAAATTTTCTTTTTATTATATCTGTGGTATAACAACACTGTAGTTTATGAACAAATGGCTAAAAGGAATGAGAAAATGCTTCATTCTCTACACAACAAGCAAAGTAGAATTAGAAACAAAAAAGAAAGGTCTTACATATAATATGGAAATTCTTCTGTGCTTCTGGAGAATTCATATTTAGGGCCAGATTTATCTTCTATGTCCATAAATGGGGAAATGGTAACACTTGGATTTTCCCAAATTGAGCACTGCTAGCCAGAATTATTATCTATGTCTGGGGGAAGATACATTCCCAAAATGGAAAGCGCACCATGCACTGGTAAACTGTAGTATTTTTTGGAGAAGGCAGATTTAGCCTCAGCCCAGGTCCCTTGGCTCAGGCTAAAAAAAAAAAAAGCAACTGCTCGTTTAAGCTGCTGTAAAAAAAACTAAATGCCTGGCCACTCTTTTCACTGTATGAATTGATGTCATGAAGCAGTCATCATGTGATCCATATGAATTATCTCAAACAAAGGGACATAATAGCCTTCTGTATCCCTACACTATGATAAAATGAATATTAAGTTTTGTAGAATACAGTTTTAAGACTTAATCCTAAAAAAAAGAAAAGTCTGTTATGTTGATTTTGATTAGTATTTCTTACATATTAATTTCAGTTTCTTTCAATCATAAATCAAGGGTTAAAGATTGCTTCTAACAAATTCAATGATGAGTCTTCATTATAGACTGGCACTTCAAAATCACAAACACCTTTACCAAACAACAAAAATAACACATCATTTGAAGTTATCAAAACAGCAGTAGCAACAAAAATTTATAGTGCATATAACCAGAAAAGAAAATTATACAAAGATGCTGTTAACTTTCCACATTATCAAAAACAAAATGGTTGTAAGGAAACTGTCATTATTAGAAAGAGCTATAACATTTAGTGGATCTGAGAAGTTTAATTTTCTGAAAAACTGTTTTAAAGAAATGATTTTATGAAAAAGACTTCAACTGGCAATAACATTGATTAATGAATGCTAAATGTTTCCTGCATGGACATAGCTAATTTCATGGTTACCCTTCAGACAGACTATAGCCATTAAAGATCTGAAATAAAGAATGAATTCTTGAAATGACTGGAATGTGCATCCCTTTTTTCATCATGTGATAGACAAAAAGGGATACAATTTTGTGTTTTGTATCTCCAAGCTCATTTCTTATTTGTGATTCAAGTGACTTATTAATGACTCTGAAAGAAGAAAGGAAACTGAAAGAAAGTAAGAAAAATATTAGTCCAAACTTAATCATGGTCGATAATGTTAAAGAATACTGGAGGTTTTAAGGAGTGTGGAACCACCTTTTAATTGCTGTTGTTCCCAGGCCCAACCTGACTCTAGGTGGCAGCACCTGTTGGGGGTCCCAGCTATGGGCAAATAGTGAACCCCCCCAAAACAAAATACTATGAAAGTATAAAAATACATTTTCATAGTAGAATTACCAACAATACATTTTATTGGAGACATGCAATTGTGCTCAAAATATATTTACTTGAAACTATAAAATTGTGGTCCAAATATTAAAATTTCCACATTAAATAACCCATAGAGGTTGGTATGCCGAGAAACAAAATCAACCTACCAATCACTTATCAGGCAGATCTATGATACTTTTTCAGTAATATCCAGCAAGTTTTTCAATAAACTCTTGAATATAGTTTTTATTAAAGACAATCTTCCCTGCATCAAAGCATTTTGAAGAAAGGTAACAAGTTGGCGAATGAGTCAGGTGGAGTTAAACAGATTAATAGAGAACCAAATTTTTTTCCAGTGTTAGTCTTGATGTATATGACCTTGCGTTATGCATGAAAGCATTATGTTTTCCTTTAATCCACTGTGTACCATAACTGAGGTATGTCCGTGTATTCCTAATTTATTCTTAAGAAGTTAGGGTGATATACTTGTCATTACAATTGTTACTTATGACTCAATCTAATAATTTACGAGCTCTTCACTTTATATTGGTTTTGGGCAAGACTAACATATAAATTTCTTCTTCCTAAAAAGGATTAATTTAAAATAGTCTTTGTTAGTTGATAAGTGGGAGGGGACAGGAAGTGAAAGAGAATGTGAAGACTAAGAATGAGGATGATTATGGTAAAGAAAAAAAAAAGAACAGGGTTTCAGATGATGTAAGATGGTTGTTGACAATACATTTAAATTTTTGAAGATTGCAGTTATCAGGGAAGCAAAAAGTGGAAAGTGTGAAAAAAGAAACTGTTACAGTAGGAGTGTCAGTTGCATCTAGGTAGTTCAACAGTGAGACCTAACTGCCAATCTAGTAGCACGCTTGAATTTATGTAGTCAGGCCACCGAGGGGAAAAAAGCTCATCAAAACAATTTTCTGTGAAAATATTTATTGAAAAGACAGAGGGAAGCCATATCATGTATGTGAGAAAGTGACTTAATTTGAGATGCCATGTTAGGATTCCTTACATTACAGACCCTACAATATAGTGAAAATATTGAAATCTTACATTGTAATCCAACTCATCACTGATTAAATGGACGATACTGTAGTCGCACAAAGCCTGAAAATAGATAAGAATCAGAAATTTATTAATTTTCATTTATTTTTCCAATGCAGATCTTTTTGAATAATTTCTAATTACTTTTGGAAAATTTCATTAATTCTACGAATGTTTATTTTTCCTGAAGAATAATTAAAAGTAAACAGTCTTCAGAGTGACAAAAATGTTGGGAAAGCTTTCCAAATGCTTACATTTTCATATTCCTCAAGAGCTTCAAAACAAATTGCTCTATTAAAGAAGGCAAGAGCACAGTCCTCCTTTAATTCAATGGCTTTTGTCAAGTCAACAACAGCAAGCTTATATGCACCAATAAAATACTTTATGGAACCCCTGAAATAAACAAGATTGATATATTCAAGTTTAGTGTGCAAAGTACTAAGTCATGTTAAATAAGAACATGTGAGAACTTAATTCCAACATTTAGAAAATTGTTCCGTGTGTGCAGACTTCAATTTGAAGATAGCATGGAACTACAGTCACCATACAATGTTGATTCCTATGACCCCACCCTAAATCTATAAATGCTCTAACTCTGATATTGAGCTCCCTTTCTTTATATTTTGCTATTAATTTTCTTTTGTTTTTTCACTAATGTTCACCCAATACATGGCCCAAGAGTTACTCAATGCAAATGGTTACCGTGTGGACTTAGCATAGGAAAGAACAGGTGTTAGAAGCATGACGCTGAAGCAGACCTTAGGAGGAACAAGAAACCCAATTCTAAATAAGAAACAATCGATAAAACCATACTCCTGTTCAAAAGACTGAGTAGGAGTGTGAACCGGACAATATTGAGATCTTTAACCTTTCTGAGTCCATTGTTCCACTAGTGGAACATATTTTAAAACATATCTTTACACCTGATGAACATTAATTTTGATTATGTTATCATTAATATATATGGTAAAGACTAAAATACAATATATGGTTACACGTTGTGTCAAGATACAATTAAAATTCTCATCTGATGTTAAAAAAAATATGATCCACTAGTAGGACAATGGCCACTAAAATGTTAATTAAAAATTCCTGCTTAAAAACAGTATCCTCTGGAAATAAGTTTATATATAATAAATCAAACATATAAAAGTGGACACTGAGGCCAGCACCTAACAGTGACAGTTTTTCATGCTTCGACACAATCTTTAGATTGTTTAAACCTGAAACAGACTGTTGTTGTTCAGTATTGACCAGTGTCCACTTTTACATTTACATATGCTCTCTTTGATATTGAACGCTTTTACTTATAAATATAGCATACCATAAAATAATATTTTTATCATATTATATATATATAATTTTTTGTTTATACATTATTTTGAGAGATAATTTATTTTAGTAAATGCTCTGTTTTAAATTAAACAATATTAATTACATTTGCTACCTTGAATGTTTGAGAAATTTCATAGAAAATATGCACTCTTCTAACAGGAATTGAACCTGTAATCCTTATGGGAACCATCCTTATCAGAACCTGACATGCCATTAACATTCAGCATAAACACTTAATATATTAAATAATTGTCAGACTTACTCGATTTTTTTATTATAAGAGATTATAATGAAAACATTTTTAAATTGTTACACAAAACGTTTCATGTTTCAATACTATGATTGTACTTACCCAGGCGATGTGAGTTAACTGGTTATAAAATGATTTTTTATGCAAATATATTTTTTAAAATCATGAAAATATTGCCCCCTAACTTCAAAAGGAAGTGGTTGACCAGTGTAAGGAGAAAGTTCCACTCAGATTTTATCCTAGAACTGCAACTTTGTAGTACAGACACCTGCATGGATTCTTCTTTGAATGCTAAAATTTTGATCTTTTCATGTCAAGAGTTTAATTTTATCCATCTTCTTTATCTTCAAAATGCTTAATTCCTTCCACTTCTCTTCCATTCATAACACACCACCTTTTTCATATTTATTTTAACAGTAACCCTTTTACCTTGATAGCTCATAAGCCCTGTACTGAATTGTCTGTTTAATAGCATATCAACACCTTATGGGTCATTTAATGCAGAAATTTAAATTTCTTGGTACCTTTGAAGCAATAAAAATATGTTATTCTGTTTTCACAATTGAATACATGGTAAATGATACTTAGCTTTTCTGTATATACATGTTTGTGTGAATATAATTACTAGAAGTGATGATATGTGTGGCTTATGTTGTAGTTTTGTTGAAGTTATATTTTGGAATACAAATTGATGTAAGAAATTGTTTGATATTATATGGACTAAGTCATGAAAGTTCTTTTATGTCTTTTGATTGAATTTTAAACAGATTTGGGTGAATCCACTATAATTTGTTAGCATGTGTGTATTTTTAGTAATTCTACTATAAAAATGCATTTTTATACTTTCATAGTGTTTTGTTTTTGTTTAGGGTTTACTATTTACCCATAACTGGGACCCTAACAGGTGCTACCACCCCAGGTCTGGGGCATCTAAGAGCAACAGAAATTAAGAGGTAGTTCCTCAAAGCCTCTAATCTCTTGATCAGGGGCCTTGCTACTGGATATATCACAAGCCTTGTATTAAGCGAAGTTTAGTATAAAAATACACACATAGAAAATTTGTTTTCTCTTACATATACAACTCAAAATATTTCTTCAAACTGATAATTAAACACCTTTATGAAGATATAAAATAGCAAAACAATTAAAATTTCTTTAAAAAACTGAACTAAATATACATGAAAGGCACTGGTATTAAACATCACCTTGCAATTTAAGTTTTATTTTGTTTCTACTTAACTCCCCCAATAGTGTCAAGGATAAGCACCAGTCAAGACTTATGTGATGTGTGCAATATTGTATACGTGCTTACTGGACTTCAGCAAGGTTTCAAATTTGTTATATGAAACCCTGAAAGTAACTGCAATGATTGAAAAAAACAAAAACAAAATGCAGAATCTCTTTTCCATGTTTTTCTTCTTAGAGCTGACGTAAAAAACAAAAAAATTGACTTCCTTTAGATTCTGATTGCCTGGGTCTACACACTACTACAAGCTTGAGTGATAATTTTTCTTCTTTTTTTAAGTTGTTTTATGTCTTATTCCCTTTTATTACAACTTACTTTTTTTTATACAGACTGATGGTCAGAGTAAGCAACAGGAATCTGAACAAAAAAGAACACTCTACTGTGACATTACATTGAATAAGCTTGTGTACTGTCAGAAATTGATTAAACAAATAAATCAACAAAGGCTTATGCAAGGATTTTTAGCAAACACATCTGCCGAATCTCTCAACCCCCATACTGTCCAGATTTGGCACCCTGAGATTTTTATTTACAGAAAGGAGGAGTCCAGACAATGGAAAAGATTAACTCTTAAATGTCTGGCATCATTAACCCCAGAACACTAACCATCAATTAAAGTTACACCATGACTAACCATGGGTATTATCATACCCGATTTTGAAAATATCAAACAAAATATTAAATATAAATCGTTATTTGAAATATTTTACATGCAGGCACTTCAAACTTTGTAATTTGAGTTAACATTAATAGGAACTGAAAAACATTATTTAGGTAAGAAAATCAGGTACTGAAAATTGTAATTAAAAATAGGAAAATTTGCACTGGGTACTATATACCCATGGTTAGTGTTCTAGGGTTAATTAAGGTTTCATTAAAGATCAGTGGATATCATCAATTGATAATTTCATCAATTCGGTTACTCGTGTTGCTTACATTGGTATCTGCACTCGCATCCATTTCAATATCGATGCCAAAGTATTAACTTTATCAAAAACACGAGCAGTGTTTATCAAATGAGGCAACAAATAAACAAACTTACCTGTACAATAAAGCACGTACACTGTTTTTATATATCTTCAAACCTTCATTGCAATTGAGAATCGCCTTTGGATAATTCTTTTTCATTGCATAATAAGCAGCTCTACTCATATAAACCTGCTCAAGAAAAAGAAAAAAATTCCAGAGTAAACTAATTAAACAAAAAAATTTCATTTTTTTTTTTTTACAATATTTTGTCAAATTTACACAAACTGGAAACCCTACCAGGATTTATTATCAGTCGGCATAATCTTAACAATATAAGATACGTAGATGGCACTGTATTGAAGGCCAACTTTGAACATCCTAGACAGGGTAGTAGAGGAAAATGAGAAAAAGTTGTAAGAAAACAAAAATTATGGTTATCAGCAAGAGAAAATGTTCAAAATATGAGTTACAAATCAACATCAATCAGGTGTAGAAGTTTAAATATCTGGAAAGTGTTTTAAAAGACAATGGAAAATGCGACACTATGATGCAAACATGCATTGGACTAGTGAAAGTAGCATTCCAAATGCTAAGCAAGGCGCTGGAAAACGGAAAAAATTTGGCTAGAAACAAAAAAAAAAACAAGAAGTGTTGGATTGCTGTGTTTTATCTGTCCTCTTATATGGTAGGGACTGCTGGACAATCTCCCATGGCTGAAAGGAAAAAATAGAGACTGCAGAAATTCTATGAGTGGAGCAAGTAACCAACAATGATGTCTTAAAGATTGTGGCAACAGAAAGAACACTTACAGTCAGGATCAGGAAAAGGTGTCTGAAATTAATTGGACATGTAATGAGGAAGGAGGGCTTGGCAAACTTAACATTCACAGGGCTTACCGAGAGCAAGAGAATTAGGAGAAGGCAGCAAGTCACTTACCTGACAAGCTTGCATGAATGGATGGTGAAACAGAAAATGGGTGTCTTAGCAAAGAGAGGAAAATTGCTAAGAGCCACAAGGGACAGGAAGTTGTGGAGGGCCATGATCGCCTATTTCCTGAAGGGAAAGGGCACATAAAATACTTTATTGGTCATACAATCTTCACTTTTTAGCACTGAGACATGACTTGCATTATCAGAACAGAATCGAAGTAGTGAGAATAGGTTGCTAATATCTTACTTTTTATTACATATCTGATTTCTTTGTATGTTTTTATATTTAATAATTATACAAGTAACTTTTGTCACATACAACAAAGAATTCTTAGATAAAACTCCTAGATTACTCATGCAGAAATATATGACCAATATATATAAAAATATAAGCAAAGCTGTTTTAAAATTATTCAAATATTGCCATCTGTTTTATGGTACAGCTTGAGTTAGCTCTTTTTCTATTATTTTTATTTTCTACGTTTAATGATTTAAAAACAGAATCCATTCTTACATAAAACAATAGTTAACTGCCTAGATAAAAAATCTTATATCATTCTTCTATGAGCCATGATGCTGACAATCATAGCTCTTCACAATTTCCATTGTAGCTCTTAATAAATTTTATCTTTTTGTTATCTCCCCATATCTTTGTCCCATCATCCATTTACTTAAGTTTGCTATGATGAATTAGAAGCCATTGTCAAAATGCAAGCTAAATAACACAATTGTCAATCTGTTGTTTGTCCAAGAAACAAAATTAACAAAGTTTGCAATAAAAAGAAAAAGGGAAGAAAATGAAACAGCAACAATAATGCAAGCAAGTAAGCAAAGAATACATTGAAAGCAAATCAACAGGTAAGATGGAGTTAGTGTTTGCACATAAAAGCAAGGTTGGACAAGCAAACACAGTAGTTCTGTCTAGTAGATAAGGCAGATCTGGACTGAGTCATGTCAAAACACAAGCCGTTCCATTTTATTGGCTAAGAAAAATATCCCAGCATGCATTTCGTGTACTTCTGATTATAAAGAAGGAGGGGGAAAAGTTTTGAAATCATTTCCCACAACTTGGAAATCAACACGCTAGTTTATGCATTGTTTTCCTCTGTCCTTCGAGTATCAAATTTTCTAAGCACTCATAGTGCCCTAGAAATTACAACTGTTGCTTCATGATGTTAAGTATAAGGGTCCTTTTTGTTTCCATTTTCTTGAAAACTTTGTCATTGCTCACATGTTCAGTATCCTTCTGTAGCACCATATGTAATTTTTGTTCTCGTTAGATTTTGATATCACCAGTCTGTAATTTACCTGTTGGGATGTTCCTTTTCCTAACAACCCTGCATTCTTTCTTTCTTAAAATTTATGTTAAGTCCTTCCTTCTCGCTTTTCTTCACTACCTTCTGTAGGAGTTCTTGAAGTTTTCTGTTCCTGAGTTTGAAGCCTTGTGGGTAGATGAATGGAAGTATAACATCATCATCACTAGAGATCACTCCAAACACCTTAATCACCATTAGACTCGTCCAACTCTTTCCTAATCATCTGCACTGTCCTCAGATTAACATTCAAACACTCTGAAATGTTCATACTGGAGCTTCTGGGATGAACGCCTAGCACTATCTGCATGCTGTTTCCAAATTTCTGGTAGAGTAAATTGCATCATAGTGCTCTTCTTCTTGCAGACAGTGCCCAGCTGACCCTACTATATTGTGCAGTATACAAAAGCAAACACCACACATGAGTGAAATTAAAAATGGTGAAAATTTACCCATTGCACCATTACTGTCTCTACACTGCGGGCCAAATTATTATTGAGATAACTTATTTTCTAATATTTCAAAAACAAAATAATCAATTCACACAAAATTTTCACACAATGTTGGCAACACTAACCTCCGCAATCACTGAAATTTTTGTACTGATCTGCGCAATGTAAACAAACTGGCGCCATATTTGTTATCAGCACGGTGATTTGAGTGTGCCAAATTATTAGAAAAGTGTAAGAATTTAGTGAAAAGATGGGCCGTAAAAGCAGTTTAAGTGATGCTGAAATGAAAACTATCACCTCAGAACTCTCAAAAGGTAAATCTACCCTAGAAATTTCTAAAATGATAGGGAGGTGTCATCAAACAGTGAAAAAGTTCACCGCTATTTTATTGCACAAATTGCCAATCTGTTCTTTGTCTCTTTAGTCTTGATTACAAATGAGGCAACAATTGGAAGTCATGGAATAACAAATTTACACAACATTTGTAGGAAGATCGGAATCCCTATAGTACAATATAGACTAGACACCAGCATCAGTTTATGATTAATGTGTGGGCTAGAAGTGTAAGTGCTGTCTACAGGAACTTTATTTTGAACATACTTCCAGATCTGTTAGAGGATGTATCTCTGCTAATACGAAGATGCATGTGATTCATTCATGATGAGGCTCTGGCACATTCTAATGATAATGTTCATGATATATTGGCTGACATCTACCATGAAAGATGGAGATGTAGGGGAGTACCAGTTCCATGGACTGCAAGTTCCTTCGACCTCAATCTTTTTTTTTTTTTTTTTTTTTTTTTCTGTGGGGCCATCTAAAACAATTGGTTTATGCAGTAGACATTAATAATGCAGAGACACTTCATCAACATGCTATGGAGGTCCTGCAAAAGCATTTGCCACTGTGTGGTATTAATTGAAAGGGTCTGCCAGTCAATGATCCAATGGGTTCATGTGTGTGTGTGTGTGTGTAGAAGCAAAGCAGATGACATTTTCAACATTTGTTATGAGTTGCCTTTTGGACATATGTTTATATAGATATTTTATCTTGTTTTGGTGTCAGGAACTTGCACCCAAAGTTTGTAAAAGTATTTTTCATGCATAATGTATATATAACACTTTTACCAATTAATAGAGAATACATTAAAACTACATTTTAACATGTATTGGGTGCGATGGGTAAATTGTCACCATTTTATATTTTTATAAATTGTGCATTGTTTATTTTTGATTTTGTTGACTGTATAGAAGAGTCAGTTGGACACTGTGAGATAAAGGGCACCATGATGCAATTCCCGTTGCCAGAAATTTGTAAACAGCATGCAGTACTGATTGGAATTCATGCCGGAAGTTCCAGTATGAACATTTCAGAGTGTTTGGCTTTCAATCTGAGAAATGTGCAGAGGATTCAGAAAGAGTTGGATAAATCTAATAGTGATTCTGAAGGTACAGCAGCTCAGAAAACTTACTCTGATCATTCTGATAAGAACTCCCAAATTTGTTGGTGAGGGCCTCAGGCTCAACACAGAGGTCTACATCAAGTCCCTTGAGAGGTAGTGCTGCCCTGGGTCAAGAGGGTGGCTGCTGGAAAACCCTATGTCTGGCAACAGGATTCTGCACTATAATACATAAGCGGGAGAACCCAGTCATGGCTGTCAGAAAACATCTGTGACCACATCACCCCTAAAATCTGACCACCTAAATCCCTCTTCATTATTATGTGTGTGGTGCAGTTGAGTGAGAGACCAACAGAACTCCTTTTAACACCAAAGATGAACTGATATCAAGGATTATGGCAACATTCACCAACTTAAACAAGGAGACAGTCCAGAAGAGTTGCAGGAGATTCCAAAGTTGTGTGGAGGCTGTGATTGAAACCAATGATGATTTTATTAAATAAATTTACTCTTTAGTATTTCAAGACATTTTTGTGTAATTTTGGTAAATATATGTTAAAATGAAATGTCTATGTTATTTTCATTTTTGTGTAAATTGGATGAAGTTTATCCATCATACCCTGTATATGCTCATATATAAAAGAGGCAAGAATTATTTCAATATAAAAACTGGTATAAAATTCTGTAATTATAAATTGGGAAATTGGTTACATATAATAAAGCATAAAAATTAACAATCAGTATTCGGTTAACATGCAAAAATTGTTTTCTTTTTTTCAATATTTTACTTGTTCATCCTCCTGATTTTAATCAGGATTGTTTCTTTAAAAAATAGTAGTTAGTTGTACTTTCTTTGTTCCCTGAACACTATTTTAAAATATACAAAATTACTTTTTATCAATAGCAGTTCATTTAGATGAAACCCAGCATATCATGAGTAGGATTTTATATCAAAATTTTTATATGATAACTATGAGAGCAAAACTACATCTGCCCTGCTTTATTGAAATCATTTCCTGTATACAAAAAAAAAATCTATATATTCCTGATCACAGGAGAAAAATTGGATTTTCAATAGTCAGGAATTATTGTTTGCATTGCTTATTATTTTACTACAGAATAAGCATTGTAAATAATTTTACTACATAAATGCATAAAAATAATCAGTAAATATATTATCATGAATTGTTAAAAAAGGATTACTGTATGTCTATATTCTCAGTTTGTACACATTGCACAAAAAAAGAAGATCCTTTTTTGTCTGTGAAAAGTATACCTCAATCTATGTTGCTTGTCTGCAACTTATTCCAAAAGTACATTTGCTAATTTGTAATGCAGTTGAAATAATGTTGCAAAAACTCAGTAGACAAATAGACAATATAATTAGAAGTTTAACAAAGATGAAAGGAAGGAATGTGAATTTAATAATAGCTGCAAATTTTCTTTTCTTTTCTAAAAGCACAGTTTAAATAAATCATTTAACATGGTATATTTAAAAACAGCTAGTTTTTTTTTTCTGTCATCATACCATAAGATACAGTTGCTTTGTTACAACTTTTTCTTATTTCCTCAAAGTTGCAGAGTAAATACAAAAGAAAAGGCAAATCTGACTCCTCTCAATGTTTTATATAATTCTTTTCTGTGACTGACAACCACCAAAATAATCTGCTTTTATTTACTTTTCTATGACAATAGGTGACCCACTAATTTCATGGGGTTTAACCCATAGTTTCTGTCGTCAGTTTTAAACTAATTTTTTTTCCATAAATTTCATCAAATACGAAGATTGAGAGCCACTCAAGATAATCAGGATTTAACAATGAGAGAATGTGGTAGGAAGTAAAGACAAGCTTAAACATTGAATAATCTTTAACAATTGATCAGAGAGTATAGGGAAGAACACATATAGACATTTGTTCCACAAAGAGGGAATCCTAGCAGAAAATGCTGTCTTGGTGGAATTTTCTTTCTAATTTTGAAACTAGGAATAAATGAAGATTATATGACTCTGTGGAAGTAGCATGGTGTGTCCTAGTTGTAAAGGTCTGAAATGATGAATGGATCGCTCATCTGAACATTTGCCATGAAAGTAGCAACAGAGTAGCAAGAAGATAATATTTTGTATGTGGGGGGGGTGTTAAACTTTTGTTACAAACTATAATTCTTGAAAGTTAAAATTTCACTGACATATTTTAGAAAATTTCCAACTTTGCATCTGAAATCAAGAAAATAGAAATTGTATATTTGTTGTGGATCCTGCGTGAAAAATAGGTATCCAATAAATGACAATCACAAGTATTTAAGCTAAGAAAATTAAATGTATTTACACAAAATACAAAAGAGTAATGCTGTTAGTAAAATCCAGGAATGCGGTTAGTAGCAAATACAGATGAATATATACAGTCTCAAGTAGGACTTCCTTAGAGTCTACGTGCTTGTAACTGACTTCTACAAGAGGTTACTTCACTCCATCCGACACTCACAGACGACTCCTGTACGACTCATCTATGACTCCTCTTCTCTGCCTGACTGTGGCTATTTTATGGCAGCAGAACAAGTCCATTATATCCGAAAAGGGTGGACCCCATAATAATATTAAAATGGTCACAATACATCAGTTTCAAGTGATGAAGATTATGTAAAAAGTAAGTCCCACTACATTCTCTAATAATTCTATCATCCCACAAGTTTTCATCCTTCTGGTCTTTTTGGAGGGACTTACACGGTCCAGTGACTCTGAGATTGATTCCATCAAGAGTTCTAAGTTCCTGGTAGTGCCACCATTGTTTGTAAGTTCAAAGACCCATACTAAGTGCTACCAACTCCAAGGACCTAATTGTTAAACAAGCAGATTATGATTACAACAAATCTCAGTGGTTGGACCAGCAGATGAAGAAGGCTACACATGATGGATATGTTACAGAAAGTATCACTCAAAATTATAACAGTCAACAGTAATCTATTGCAATTTCCTCCACCTCAAACAAATTCACACCATCAGGACTTCTATTCTGATTTTCTTTCACTTCCAATCAACTCTTGCAAAGCCAAACAGCAATAGGGAATGGATTATCATTAACAAGGCATCTCCCAGAGGAGGACTGACATTGAATATAAGTTTAAAACAATGCTCCGCGACACACACTTAGAGACTAGTGATAGTCCATTTTAACAGAAAATAGACTATCCTATTGAAATTAATTTTGTTTTTGCTGTAATATATATATATGTGTGTGTGTGTGTGTGTGTGTGTGTGTGTGTGTGTGTGTGTGTGTGTGTAAAATATATAGAAAATAGAAAAGAACTCATTAGGTAAATAATCCTTCTTTAGTATTTTGTTATTATTTTTAAAAAACAGTGCTCGATACAAAAGTAGAGCCTAAATATAATTATTTATTTAAAAATATGATTCCAACACTACATATGAGTTCTCATGTTTCAGGTTTTGGAAGTTTCTGTTCCTGAATGTGCATGCTAGCAGTGAATTTAGTCATCAACATCATCATCATAAAAGAAGTAACCAGCAAAGTAGTAATTAAATTCTTGGAAATGGGATGAAGATGACGATGGTATCTTTCTGTGCAAACAACTACTTTTGTTTTCTTCATTGATAATTCTAAATTGAAATATCCAGTCATTATGGTAGATGAGAGTAACCTTCCCAGTGAAGCTATAATCATTTTTACCCGGTCCTTAATGAAAAATACAATTGAATATTATTCAAATGAAATATTAGACACTTTTTAATTCTGGAACAATCCTCACCTTTTGGTTGGACAAACTGGGAAGATTATTTGTTTGAATCAATTGTTTGGATCTTCAGAAGTTCATCATAGAGAACTTCTATCTAATATCACTACACACACATCAAATTCTATAAAAGTTTGGTACCTGGCACCAACCAGTCAGTTATGTGCCATGCGTGACGCACACTTAAATGATCATGTATCTTTGATACATAATTGAAAAGGCAGATTTTTTCCTGCAGTAGTTTGTCATTTCTTTCTGCAATAGAACAGTTGCCATCCAAGGCTATAGAACCTGGTTTGTCTAGCTACTTACCCACAGCTGGTGGGAGAAGAAGAGGATTCATACCTTTCCCAAGGGTATTAATATGTAAGTGAATGTAATGGATTTGACAGGAATTCAAGCTCCCAAATTCTTCAATCCAAGCCACTATACATTACTCCACTGTGATCCAACCAGAGATTCAAATCAACAATGTATATAGAATTCCAACAATTTCAAACTTTCTTCTTCATTGGTGAGGAGATTACTATATAGGAGGACTGATATTACATAACAGTTTATTACTTTATTTTTTTTTATTTATTTCTCAAGATTTTGCTTAGATTTTGGAAGGCATCTTTTGCTATTCCAAGGCACCTTCAGATTTTCATGCTACTATCAATAATGGCTAAACATGCATGTATACCAGAACACTAGATATTATCATAATAAATTTGTTATTAATTAACAATAAAAATCATCATCAGGGAACTGGATATTCCTATAAAAATTCAATTTTTAAAAATCAAAAGTTGCAACTACAAAACAAATTTTTATAAACATTTATAACATTTATAAACTTTTAAAAAAGTCAAAATTATAAAAAAAAACAAACAAAGTATACTAATGTTGAAAGAATCATACCTACCTCAAAATATTTTGGATCAATTGAGAGAGCCTTGTTAAAATCAATGACACACTGTGCATAGTTGAGATGGATCTTGGTTAAGCCACGATGATAGAAACACTGAAATTTAAAAAGAAAGTTATTGGAATATATGACTCTTGATATGAGTGACAACTAAATAGATTGTTTATTATTGAATTTCTAAACATAAACCAATTCCCAAAATCTAAGCAAATGATTTTTTTTTTATTTTGAAAGGTCAGGTCAAGAACACCCCAACACCTGCTCATTTACACACACCTTGGTTATAAAAAGGGAAAAAAAAACTCTGAAATAATATCAAAAGTAACTGCTTGCTTGTTCAATACACTGCTCAGTTGCATGATTTTGTAAAAGAAACATTCACTAACAATATATTTCACTGAACATAAGATGTTGTCACTAGTAAAAACTGAATCAGTCTCACGACACTTAAATAAGAGTGATCATTTTTATGGTTTTGATCAACAACACAATCTATTAAAGTGTAAACAAGTTATTTAATGAAAAATGTACCTTTTTGTGATTGTTTTGACAGTTTTCACACCTGTTTTCTTATCACTTCTTCTGTCATAAAATGAACATGGCCAAGATTTAGACAGAAAGCAATTTTGTCATTTCCTTAAACTACTTAGAGATTAAAATTAGAAATGACACTTACTGATGAGCCATAAACTCTCTTGAGAAAGGGTTTTATACAACAGAGGAAGTCAGCACTGAGAGAGAGAGAGAGAGAGAGAGAGAGAGAAATAAAGTTTTCCTCTTGAAACTTGATTCTTCCAAATAGGTAAATTACTTTGGAATTAAAGAGAAAAACATCCGACTGCTTCTTCTCTATGACCTCCGGTACCTATCTCAAACATTGGCTGACCAAATTGCCATTATCTATTAAAACAATTAGCAGGAATAACTGTCAGTAATAACTTTTTCTACATTGTGATTTTTTTTTAACTCTTACCTGTCTATCATTAAACAATAGTGGATTCACATATTATAATTCTTCTTGTTGCTGCAATAGTTAGTCAGTTAGCATGTGTTACTAGAGCCTGTCACTGCCTCAGGTAAATAATGAACCATTCCATTCAAATTATGAGAAAAGACAGGAGATAAAATGTTTTTGATTGATTTTCTACAGCGTATCAACACATTATAGGTTATTTAAAGCCAGAAAAATATTCTTAGATTGTAAAAATTATTTTATTTTTAGAGATAGTAATGGCTTAGTGATAAAAGTTTTACTAATTAACCCATAGCTTGCGGAAGAAGAGATAGATTCATACACGTTTCTCATGTAAGTGAATATAATGAATACAATGGAAATGAGAACTCAGCTCTCTGATTAACAATTTTATGCATTACATCACCCACACATCCAAGCTAACAGTACATGATATTCCCAAGTAGTCATCCCTCTAAGTACTGACCAAGTTCAATGTTGCTTAACTTCAATAATCACATGGGAACTCGTGTTTCAACATGTGGCAGCAAGCAATAAGATAATTTCCATGGGTCATGGAACTCACAAGGAGCTCTTATTAAATCCTTAAAATGAGAATTATGAGTCATCAGAAAATTCAAATAGGAAAATCATGAAATTTTCACTGGTAATGCTAGTATGAATAAAGAATACAAGTATGTGGCACCTAGTGAGAATCAAATTCACTACTCAGTCAACCAGATTATCTTTCTAACCATTATCCCAAAAATTGTATAAATTAATGTGATTCTGGTTTGGCGTTAGAAGAGATATTGCAATCAGTTATAGTCTGAGTTTTAATTCACTGAATTTTGTCTTTATCTATAAGCCTCTCTTTAAATTAGAAATGCAGTTTTGCATTCTGAAACATGCCCAAGAGCTGACTACAGAAATTATTACTTCTCACAATCAAATGCAAAAATAAAAATCATAATAATTAAAGACGCTCAAAGAAGTGCTGAAACTGAAATTATGATTGCCTATATATAGCAATTTCATTTGCAAACAAAGAAGTGCTCACAAGATCAGAAGTAAAAATACAAGGAAAAAACAAGATGGTAATAAGTTGTTAAGTGACATAAAAGAGCCATTGTGTATGATTAAGTCATTTGTGTCAAATTTAGTTTAGTATAAAAATAAATTTTATTTTTTTTTACTGGGGTCAGTAGGTAATATATTAGTACTTTTAAGATTTTTTAGGACATTTTTGTCTTGTTTATTGAATGCATTTGATTCCAGTATAGTAGGTTGATATGTTTAAGGTTATTGTTTTATTTACGTTCTTTTATATTTAAGTTACTATTTCTAATGGCTCCTCTAATTTGTTCATCAACAATGTAATTAGGAAAGTTATTATTAATGAAAGTTTGTTTAATGTTTTCTTTATTCAGTATAGAAAATGTTTTTTGTGGAAGACTTATCTTTTTGCACAATTTATTAAATTTTTAATAATAGCTATTTTGTAATACTAAGGACATCCACTTTTATAGTTTAGAGTCAATGTGTTTATGCTAGTTGTTTTTTTTTATATAAGGAGGTAGTAAATGTATCATTATTAGTCTCTATCAATATATCAAGAAAAGTAATTTTATTGTTATTAAGTTCATATGTGAATTTAAGAACAGCTGTTTTTTTAAATTTTCTTATAGTTTATATATTTAATCTATGTTTTTAACTAAGATGAGAATATCATTGACATATATTAGGTAGATGGAGGGTTTATTAGTGATATTAAATATCTTATTTTCAAGGTTAGCCATGTAGAAGTTACTAAAGTTATTGCTCTAAGAACTGAACCCATGCATGCACCCTCACATTGTATGCAGATGCTATTTTGGTGGTTTTCAATGATATAAGCCAAAAGTAGTTTTTGTAATATAATAGGTGTGATTTTTAGAATAGGGAGAAATGGATTGTTGTAATTATTCTTTATAATTATATCAATTGTTTCTTTAACTGGGAAATTGGTAAATAAACATTCAACACCAAGTGAGGCTATGGTTTCATTATTAGGTTTTGTGTTTTTAAGATTAGTTTGTGGGTTGATTTAATACTGTATTTACTAGGTATGTATGCTATAATGAGTTAGTTGATGATTTTTGTTAATTGGTAAACCAGAGTGGGGATTTGGGATACGATGGGATGGAGAGGGAAATTAGGCTTGTGTATTTTTATATTTCCATACATGTATCCTAGTTTATAGTCTCTGATTATTTTGGAGATTTTTAAGTTGTCCTGTTCTATGTTGTTGGCTGTGATCAGTTTATTAATTTTAATCTGAGGATGATCTCGGAGGAGATTGAAAGTACTTGGATTAACAAGAACTACAGCGCCTTTCTTGATGAATTTCAACTTAACATCAAAAAGATAACCATAAAACTAGAATGGATTATTGTAAAAATATGCAATTTTATAATTGTAATAATATGTCTATATTATATTATTTAATGAAACACAGACATACATATATATCCATACATACATACACACAGGGTGACTAAAAATTAAAATTCAATATGGGAGCCAGATTTCACTATTAGCTTCTCAAGCTGTCCAGGAATTATGTCAACTGATTTCACTAGGAGCTTTTGTGGTATGGAAGACATAACTTCTTGTATTCATGCCCTTCAAGTTCTTCCAAAGACTTGGTTTGGTATAGTAGACTTGCTCCTTTAACCAATTCCAAAGAAAAAGGAAGAGAGCTTTAAATCAGGACTCCTGGCTGGCCATCCATACATAAAATAAGGTGTTGCTTTTCAATCAACCTATGTATATATATATATATATATATATATATATATATATATATATATATATAAAGACATGTCTCATTAAATCATTTAGACAATTTTTGTCTACTTATTTTTAATATGATTCTCTCATATTCACGGACTTGCTTTTTAGTATCCTTGTTAAAAGAATAAAGAAAGTTACCATACTGATGCATATTCATTTATTCCGAGTACTTTTGACATTAGTAAAATGTCATCTTCAGGGTCTTGTCTACCTAAGATAAATTTGTTGTGTTTATCTGAAAATTAATTTTTTTATTTGTGAACTGAAAAATGCTAAACATATGTACTGTATGATTTTTAAAACGTGCAGTAACAACAAGGGAGGTAACTAAGTTATTAAAATGTCTAAAAAATATTTAAAGCTATTAGTTAAAACTTAGATATTTTTAAACTATCTACTGTAAACATTTTAAAACATTTGTACAGTATTCATAATTCATTTTATTTAGGGTTTGTTTCAATTTTTAATATAGATAGCTTCAAGAATTTTTAGTTTATGCTTATTAGTTTCATGAAAGTTAAAGATGTATTTTCAACAAATTTTTTTCTAAATTGTGAATGTGGACAGTAAATGTTTGAAATGTTAGATACATCATTAAAAGGAAACTTCAAGCTCCGAGACAACATAGTTGTTGTGTGACCAAGATAAACATTTTTTTTTTCTGTTGGAGATACATTCTCCCAAAGGACATTTAAATTTATATATAGTGTTGGTTTTCAGCAACACATTAATAAGTGGGGAGAAGTCATGATGAATGATTAAATTGGATATATTGAATTTAGTATAGTAAATAAATTAATTTTTTATTTTTTTACTAGGATATGTGGTGGATATATTAGTATTTATTAGTTTTTGGAGATATTTTCATCCTGTTTATAATTAGAATGTATTTGATTGCAGTATAAAAGATTAATACGTTTAGGATTATTTGAAGAAGTATTATATTCTATTTGCTTTATATTAAAATTTCTAATGAAACATTATTTGTCCATCGACAATTCGGGAAATTATTCTTAATAAGAATTTGTTTCATATTTTTTTGTTTACTTTATTAAATTTGTTGTGGATGAGTTAATTTTTGCATGATTTATTAAGTTTTTTTTTTATTTTTGCTCTTTACAGTAATTTGGACATTCACACTTATAGTTAAGAGTGTATGAATTTATGCTAGGTCAAATTCTATTTTGGTTCAACTGAAAACCAATGGAAATCCCATTACTACCACCGCCAAAGGATATTAGGCAATATTAAATATAGTAACATCACTTCCCTCTCTAAACAATTACCAGAGATTATATAGGAAAAGCCA